GTCAAATTAATAGAAAATGTAGAAGTTACAGTATTCTGGGATTTTAGAAGACAAACAGTTAAGCGTGAAACCTGGCTGAGTGACTTTTGGGCCAGTCATTATACTTAGCCTACAATGTCAGGCTTGGGCAACAAGCCAGTCAGTTGCAACCTTTCTTTTAAAAAAAACAGCTGAGGCTCATTAGTGTGGAAAAACACTTGGAAGAAAAATGTATGGGCTGAAACTGCAACAATATACAATATAACCTGGCTTGCCACATGAATTTGACAACATAGCATTTAAAAGTCAACAGTATTCTATAATTAGTTCATGGGGTAACTTCGTTATGTGTGGAACAAAAAAAGTAACTCACAATTCTGCTTAAATATCTATTCTGTACAGAATCCAATTTGACTAATACATCTTCATTTACTTGTTTCAGTTATATATTTTGCATTTGTATGTGCATGCTTTGTTTTAAATTATAAGCTGCTACAACTAAAACGGACACGGCCTTCTGTGGATTGGCATTACTTCAGTGAGACAGGCAATGCTGGAAAGCGGGTAGGGCTGACTCCTAAATCTGTATTATTTCTTTTCTCTTTTTTGGTTTTGTTGGTGTGCATTTGTCAAACAAAACGGTTGGGAGAATGCAGGGCTGCCCCGGGGGCTTTGATACCTATCTCTACTCTCCACTTGCTCTTTCCTCTATTAAAAGCAAAAAAAAAAATATTGAAGTCTCTTTTTAATAGCCTTGTAACTCTGTAACCTCCACGTTTAAGAAAATTAGATATCATTAATTTATCCCAACTAATAAAACCGTTTAAAAAGAAAGCTCAGCGGGAGGAAATATAGGTAATTTATCCCTGGTTCTTTGATACAAACCCAAAGTGCACATACTGTTTCCCGGATTTCCCCCCTTTTAAAATACATGAAGTGTAGCTTGCACATCTACGTTCCAGCATGAAGAAAATAAACCCAGCTCACCAATCTTTTTTACAATGATCACGGAAAGAGCGGGAAGCCAGCACCGTTGCTGGAGCGCTCACCTTTTTAATGGTTTTGCAATTGTTGCTTGCGCTCCAATTAGTCACTCCACGGCCCGGATGGAACGAAGAAAGGTGACTGAATTATAGGGCCCTGCTTAGAGTCTCTCCCTCGCTTTGGATAGGCTCGCCCACCCAACCCCGATGCTTCCATGGGAATCGTAGTTCTCTAAAGCCCTTCTCATGATTCGGAACGAAGGACAGCACTCAATCTCCCAAGAAGCTTTTCGCGGGCTCGTTGTCGCTGCGGTGTGAGCATGCGCGGGCCAGTGTGCCTGTTTTCGTAAGCGGCCGCTGCAGTGATTCGATGGGGGCTCACGACCATTCTCGGGTGCGGTTGTTTGCAGGACTCGGAGGGGCTGGTTTGTTCCTGTTGTTCATAGTCCTGTATAGAGTCGGGTCCGAGTTGGAGGTGGGTTGGCAAGCCGGGTAATAAAAGCAACCACTTATATATGCCCCTGTATAGCAGTGTTCAAAAGCTTGTCCAATGATTATGCCATTTTAAGACCGTATTCGCATTTTAATTCGCTCAGAGGTAGGTTCAATTGTAAATAAGGCTGCCAGATTTTTGCATCGCAAACCTGATAGTTCTAACAGGGGGGGACGTGATTGCCCTAAGTGATTTTTGAGCAAATAATTACAAATAGACAAACATCATTATCTTTATCTCTTGACAAATTTAAATTATTAATTGATTAAGAAATCTAGAATAAGGTGAGAGCTCTGGTAAAATAATTTTGGATATTGAGTCCAGTCAACTAAAAAAAAAATCAAGTCTACCATTACCCTTGTTGAAGATGTGTTGAATTACAATTGCCCTCAAACCTCAGGCAGCAGGATCAGTAGATTAATATTGTGGCATAAAGTAATACATCTAAAACACACACAAACAAATGATTATATTGTTTAGTTCGTTTAGTTTATTTTGGCAATGGAAAACGGAGCAAGGGCAAACATGGCAGTATTTTCTTTGCATGTACTTTACACATCAATTGCTATATTTAAATATA